AAAAGAGAAGCTTGTCTTACAAAAACTAGGTTATAATTGAATTTAAATTTTTTTATTTTTTTATTTAAAAAAACAAAGTGCCTTGAAATCTTGGATATAGCAACTCAATAACTAAATAAATAATCATTTCTTTTATGACTGTTTAATTTTATGATGCAAGAGTAATCAAATCAAATGAAAATTTTTGAGCTTGTAGAAAACAACATATAAAATAACCAATGTTTTTCATTTGAAGGATATTCTATAAAAGTAACACTTTAAGGTCAACTTAGTTTTCTAGAAGTGATTAAAGGTCCATTTTGGGCGACTATACCTTTTGGTAAAGGTGCTTACAAAGCAATAATGGGTAAAAAAACTGTCTTAAAAGTTGTTGTAGAAATTATAATTTCTTTTAAAAAAGCCAAACAAATTCGGTTGTAAAAATCAACTTCTCACCAAAAAAAAAAAAAAAAAAAAAAAAAAAAATCAAAAAGTACTAGCCATATGAAAGTGGCACTAACTTGAAAAGCAAAGCTATGAAAAAGACATCCCTAATAGACCTTAAATCTCACTTCCAAAAGTCAATTCAAGCGTTTAAAAAAAAGTCAATTCAAGCATTTGTTTGGTTAAAATTGAATAGAAATGAATTCTGATTTTCTAAACTCGCCCTTTAAAAAGGTGAGAAGTAAGTTTCAAACTTAAAGGCTAAAAACTTAACTTTATTTTTGCATTTTTTTTCTTCAACAAAAATAGAATAATATTACATTGATGAGATGATGGGCTAGAATATTATTTTATTTTAAATGATAATAAAATAAGAGGATAGGTAAAAATGAAACCCATTGTAGCATAAACAAACATAAAAAGCTAAATTCAAAAGTGAGTTTCTATAAACAAACAAATATTATTGTTAAGTCACTTTAATGTGATTCACTTCTGGAAATGAGATCCAAATACTTCCACACACTTACAATGAAAATAATTGGCCTTTGGGCAAGGGAATAATAAACAATCCTTTTTTGCATCAAGTTTAATCAATAGCAAAGATTCATAAAATGTGATAAAATTCGATCAACAATAGCTTTTATGTTGTAATCAACATACATAATCTTGATTTATATTCAAAAGCAATAACCTGGAAAATAAATAATATGGAGAATAAGCTTTGGTCATATATATATATATATATATATATATATATATATATATATATATATGTAAGAAAAAGAGCAAATACAATGGAAGAAATAAAAGATAAGTTAATTGATAAGGTCTAAACATTTATCATCCTACTAGATAAGTTATTAGATAAGACATTCTCTTATGTTAACAGCTTTTACAATTTAAAGAAAATATAAATATTCTAATAAAAAATGGTAAATAGGATTTAACCATCATCTTTACAAGTCTTGGCTGTCCAAGCCCTATTCCCATTGATTATTCTATGGAAAGCTCCTTGATAATGTCCATTAGGATTTTAAATCATTTAATTTGATCGTTTATTTCCTTATTGTGAATTTTGAATACAGAATAACCTCAAATTCTTTCTTTCCATGATGTGGTCAACCCACGCATGATATTTGGATTTTTTGAATGTTGTTTTTATCGCTTGAAAAGTTCATCAAGCCTCTCGTAAAGTGCGGAAGTCTACGTTTCCTAAGTCCCTCTGGAAGGTCCTTAAAAGTGTTTTGGAAGTTTCTCAAAGGCTCCTTTGGAATATTCTAGAAGATTCTTGGGTCTTGTCTAAAGTTCTAGAAGTTTCATCTAGAAATTTTTTGGAATCTTTTCTTAATATTTTGACGTGCACTTGACTGGCTCTTTTTTGGTGTTAAAACCTTCTGGATCACAATCATGGATGGTGATCCATGCTATAACAATTGTTAATCCATCAATAACTTATTGTTTCCCCAAATAATAATGACAGGATTACATGCAAAGCTGATGTGAAACAATGAAGGAATTGCGTGCGGAAATTTAAATGAAGATTAATTAGAGCGTTGCCAATACAAACTTATCACCAATAAAAAGGAAGGATTAAAAAGTATTCTAGTTAATCAATTTGCTTAGGCGAAGAGTTGCTTCAAGATAACCAAACAATTCATAACATTCAAAGATAAAAGAAATACTTAATGCTCATAACAAAAATCCCACAATTAATAATGAGAAAATTCACCTCGAGCACCTTCTCACTCATTCACTCTTTGGCTTTTAGCGGAGAAGAAAGAACCACACGAAGATGGAGAGCACCACGACAGAAAAGGAGGCGAAGGACTTCGTTACCGGAGAGATAGCCGCCGGTGGAAATGGTGGTTGATGGCGCCCGGTGATCGTCCAAACGTAGTCTTGAAACTGTCGGTCGATGACGCGCACAAGAGATGGGAGAATTTGCTCCAAGTATTCGCCAACTGTGTCTTCGTGCTCAAATCCCACGTCAAAAAACGGCGATCGGAGGATGTTGAGGCTTCCGTCGGCGTTGAACACAAGCCCCCACTCCAATTCAGGATCCGACATTCAACATTGAGGAGGGGCGGGAAGAAGAAAAGGGAGGAAGAGTTGGGCCGTGAGCTAGGGAGAGGCAAGGAGAAAATCTGAGTTTGAATTTCTGATTTTCTTGGTTTGGAGGAGAAGTTATTTAATCATTAAACTTTCCCTAAACCAAATTAAGAGGGGGCGGCTATTAGGGAGGGAAATTAAGAGGGTAATTAGTAGACGCCTAGGTGGCAAGGAGAGAGAAACGGCTAGGTGTGAGGGGCCGGCCAAGCAAGGGAAGAAAGAGGGGAATTTTGCTTAATTAGTGGGCCCCATGTAATTAATTAAAACCTGATTTTAACTTTCAAATTTTAATCAATTAGGGAGATTTAAAATTTGAATTCAAATGGGATGAGATTTCAATTAAATCTATTCCTAAATGTAGGGGTTACTTTAGGAAAGAAATAATTAATGAATTAATGGCAAGAATTCAAAATTCAAGAGGGAGTGGGTGGCGGGATCTCACCAGGGAAGAGGCGGGTTGGGCTACTGGGTGTGGCGGCCTGGCTGAGGCCGGCGGCTGGCACAGCCGGCGGCAATGAGGGCGGGTGAGGGTGGATCGGCGGGACAGGGTGAGGGGAATTTCGGGATTGGCTGCAGGGGAAGGGGAAAGCGGCCCAAGGCAAGGGGGAAGGGGTGGATTGGTGGAGGAAGTGGTGGGGAAAGAAGAAAATAGTGAACTTACAAGTAAAACCAAGAGCTCGCCGGGGCGGGCTATTGGGTATTTCGGGTGGAGCCTCTCCTAAGTCTCCTCTCTTTTTCTCAAGCTCTCAAGCAAGAAGACAAAAAAAAATCTCAGAAATTTTTTATTAATCAAACATTAACCCCATACAATAGGAAGACACCTCTTTATAAAGGCCTCCAAAACATGAAAATAAAATGACTCACATGCCCACCGGGCTACAACAAACACTAAGACTTCATAAGGGCAAATAGTAACTAATGCTTGAAATAAAAATACATGGAAAATAACATAGAAAATAACATGAGATGACATGGCAACATCAGAAATATAAGCTCCCAATCGTAGCCGTCGATCTACGATTCCTTTGCCGGTAAACCTGCCTCAAATGTTTGTTGATGACCTCATCAAAAGCATTCCAAGGTGTCATAGGAGGGGTAGTTGATCATCTATTTTGGGAGGATTCTAAGATGAATAAGTGGAGAATCTACTTAGTTGGAATAAGTTTGGTTCAATTCAAATTAGATTGGTCAATCACAATTATGCCCAAAAAATCACAACCATTCAATTCATCACTGTGACATGTGTTGATCATCATCACCTAGTTAAATAAATTTTAAGGGTGATGGGGCATTGCATCCATGGTTACTTTTAAGTGTTCATGGTCAACATACAACAAACCTAGAGGCTACATGAATTGATCACCCATGCAACAAGGCTATCAAACCTTACATGACACGTCCGCATTACCAAATGACATCTTTACTTGCCAAATTGCATAATCCACCAAACAACCTCATGGTTAGGCAAAAGATAGGACTATATGTAACTACATTCAACCGTTCTAAGGTTCGGCTTTCTTTAAAGTTTTAGCTTAGAACTAGAAAAGAGAGCCGACCCCAAGGGTGTCCCCACTTAGTCTAGGAAGATTGAACGCTTTATAAGAATTTGAACACCCACAAACAGCTTAACATATTTTTTCTGATTGATTGTGCAGAAAGCAGCCTCAAGCAGCATATGCCTATCCTTATCAACTCTCTCAATACATTGAGCATATCTCCAATGCATTAATCACTTGGGAGCGTATATATCAAACAACCGGCTATTCTTAAAAATAATCATGAATGCCCATGCACTCATAAATACATATAAACTGGTCAACATAACTAGTCTGAGAACCATTGCCAATCACAAAATAATACACATTAATAACACTAAGCCACCCAAGCTATTAAGATACACCGTCATCAAAACTATCCCAATGGACCTCCAAGATAGTTTCTGTTCAAATTGAAGCGTCACAGACAAAATAAAATTGAAATTCCGGCACATTCTCAACCATTTGGGAAGCCTAACGCTGACAGAACCCTAGATTGACATTTGAAGTTCCTAGCCAACAGAATTTTGATGAAAAAGAGATAGCATTAACTCCAAGCAACCCCTGAACTCAAGCAAACTTATATAATGATAAAATCACGACATAAAAAGTAAAAGCAATCAACAAAATCTAGAAAAGCCAGCAATTTTCAGCTTAAACTGTTATCTACCAAATACACATGCACTAGGAACTCAATCGTCATCCCCGTCCAACAAACATTTCTATACAACTATGAGAAAAACTTCATCCTTCACATGATCAAAGGTCAAACGAAGTAAACCACCGGTCAACGGCCATATAAAAGCACAGCCAAGCTTAATCCAAATTAAGCTAACCGAGATCCACAAAAAGAAGAAAACACAATCAATATAATCAAAGACAAAACAAAACAAAATCCAAAATCAATGACAGAAATGAAGGCCAGAAACCCACCTGAGATCCTCTCTGTTCTCCGGCTTCTCTCGAATTCTCTTGCTCCAGTTCTCAAAGAGAGCAGACAAAACAAAGCCAAACTAAAAGCCCACGCCCTGTGCCTCATCTCCCTTCTTCCCCTTCGAGGCACGATCGCCACCTGCCAACTGACAAGGAGAAGGGAAAACCCTAAAGCTGCTTCTAAATAGGAAAGCGGAGCACTTCGGAGCAGAAAGGGGGGATCATTGGGAGCCGGGAGGTCAGCCGAAGAATGGTCCTGTAAGATCTCCCTCAGCGTGCTTGACGATATCGATCAAGTATTTCCGGGAGATTTCAACTTTCAAGCGTGTGATTTACTGAAGTTAATTGGCGGGGGCCAAAGAGATAAATTTTGGTTGTTAAAATTAAATTTCTTTCCTTCCCAATTATATCTTAATAGTGTCCGTTATTTTTTTTAAACAAATATATTTAAATATTCATTTCCAACAATAACTCTTTTTAATTTTGAACTATTTAATTAAATTTATAAATAAAATAAAATTGATTCATATAATTAAAATATATACAATTTAAGAGAATAAAATTCAAAGAAAATTCGGACCTTACTTTATAATAATTACAATATATTACAATCATAATAAATACAAACAATAGATTATAAGATAGATATAATAATATGAAAATCAATAGTTATAACCAAGGTTTTCAGAACCGGACCGGACCGGCCGGTTCGACCGGTTCAACCGCGAACCGGTCCGGGGAGAAGGAATAACCGGCTGATTCAAGAACCGGGCAAAAACCGGTTTAAATTCCGGTTGAACTGCCGAACCGCCGAACCGGGGGGTTATGAAATAATCGGCCGGTTCGTTAATGATGAAATTTGATCCCTTGATCTGCGATCCAACGGCTTAAAATTTTTCGTATCGGTACTTCGTATAAGTGTCGCTACTCAACTCGTCTCCTGTATACCCTAGCATACGCGAACGATTTATAGATTTATTTTGATATTTATGTTTGAATTTTGAAGCTTACTTCATATAAAATTATGAACATTTTGTGTGATGACAAAAGTTATGCATTTGTTTATGTTTTATTGACTTATTTGAAGAGACACTTATAGTATATGCTATTTGTTTATGTTTCATAAACTTAATTGATGTCATGTTTATGTTATTTTAATTAGGAGCTATGAAAATAGAATGTTGAATGAATGAATTACAGGAAAATTTGTTTTTTATTTTATTTTTTAAATAATTTTATGATTTATTACGTCATCCAGTTTGACCCCGGTCGAACCGTGAACCTCTCCTTCCACCGGTTCGTTGTCCGGTCCGGTTCTGAAAACCTTGGTTATAACTTAACATAGTGTGTAATATAAGAACTATTTATATATAGAACTAAATGAATAGAAATAAAGATTTTTATAATATAAAATATTTTCTTGCTATTTGTCTATCGGAGTTGGCATAGTTGTAACAATGATAAGAAAAAATTATAATAAAAATGGCATGAGAGTGATGGGCACTTGGCCCTAAAAGTAACTTTGTTATAACCTTTCACTAAGCATTGACTACATATCCATTGCACAGCATCTTCTTACATGTTAGAGGTCTTATATTTTTTTTGGACAACCACGCATTTGTTTCACTAACAGGGGTATCATAATAATTTGTTAACGAGAAATTCTTCCGCTTTATTTCAAAATAATTTCTTGCATTCGATGCAAATGTGCCTTTATCAAATAACTATTTTTTTTGTATTATATGCCTAAAAAACTTTGGCAAAATAGTCACTATATAAGAGCATGCACTATTGATAATAGTTGTTGAAGTTCTTAGAAATTTAAGTTGGATAGAATGAGCTTCTTTTTAAGGTTGAAAGTTTTTCATTGCATCTTCTTACCCGTTAGAGGTCTTATAGTTTATTTGGACAACCACGCCTCAACTTCACTAATAGAGGTATCATAATAATTTCTTAATAAAGAGATCCTTCTGTTTTCTTTCAAAATAATTTCTTACATTCGATATAAAGGTGCCTCTATCAAAGAAATATTTTTTTGTATTATATGCCTCAAAAACTTTAGCAAAGTAGTCACTATATAAGAGGAGCATGCAATATTGATAATATTTGTTGAAGCACTTAGAAATATAAGATCGAATGAGCTTCTTCTTAATTACATGGTTGAGCTTTCCATGGTATTTAGATTTGACATCCAAAATATAAAATATTTTTTATTCTTAGTTCGTGATCTCAACCTTGCTTGAATGTGTTAACCTTCTTGATCATAATTGATTTCACATTAGTACAAGGAATATATCAAATATCTTTTATCTGATTATTCATTGCATATAAATATAATATCTTTATTAACCCTCTATGCTCTCAAAAAATTGTCGAACTTCTAAATGACTTGAGGACAAACTTGATTATAAGGCCATTATATCACATTAAATTGGAGTTATTTTCATGCATTTGCCTTCAGGGTAAGAGTTATTAATATTCATATCCATTTTATGATTTACTTCATATCTTACATTGTAGTTTTTAATACTAAGATACATAAAGGATCAAAGAACCTCACTTATTTTCTAATTTTAAGTAAATCATAAAATGGATATTATCTCCAATGGATGCTTTAGTATTGAAGCAATGACGAAGCCATCATCATATGTATGATGTATGTCTACAACATCACTACTAATGCATCATGAACGTCTAGAGCATCATCTATGTCAACAGAAGATAATGGACTAATGAATTATGCATTATCCTCATTTATATAATAATATGTAGTTGATTTTTTTTAGAGCAATGTACACACATATGGGAGATCAGTATTGAATGGATACGAATATTTCATTAAAAAAGAAAGAATATAATATATTTATATCTCTATTGATGTATTTGATATTATGGATTGTGCTCAACTAAAGTACTGCATCACATTTCATTTCATTCTAAATTAGTTATTATGAATATATGTCACTTTATTGATAAGATAAGTTAGATCATCAAAGAAAATGCTTCTGTGAACCTTTAAGAATTTTGTCCTTTTTAGTTAATGTTCAAACCAACTTGATTATCTCCTTTCGATTCTCCTCCACCTATCACAAGAATGTTGATTAATCTTTAGAAAATAATAGGATATAAACACACAATTCAAAGGATCATGTGCAAAAACAAGGTTTGAATCATGTGCAAAAACATGGTTCAAACATGAATCATATATTTCAAATCATGTTCAAACCATGTTTGAATATGTTTTCCAACCATATCTGAGCTTCTTTCTTCAATCCTTTATCTATGTATGTGCTAGAATTCCATCAAATTAACCTAATTTGATTGGATCATATGATATAAAATCAATCTAAAATAAATGAAGTATTTCATGTAATGACCCAAAAGTTTAAAATCAATTTATTTGAAAAATATGAAAATATGATCCAGCAACCAGCATTGCGATGTTGGGCTAGCAAGCACAGTGGCGCTGAGAGCATGCAGCGGCGCCAAAAAATACCATCGCAACAATGAAGGCTCTATTCTACAGTAACTCTAAGGGCACCATGGAGTGTCGCAATGTTGTATCGTGCATGTTGTGACGCCAGACACTAAAAATAGTTTTTTTTTAATATTTTTCGTTAAATATCCCTACCACCCACCACTCCCCTCACTTCACTTAGCTTAATGGGGAAAGGAAAAAAGAGTGGAAGAAGAAAGGAACACTATAGGAAAGTCAACAGTTTACGGTGGTTTTGCGGCGAAGCTTATTGGTGAATATTGTTTATAAAAAAGTTGACATATTTGAGACGAAAAATTTTTACAAAAACTTTGTGGCATAATTTTCATCGTAAATTTGTGGCAAAAAATTATGTCGCAAATCCAATGCTCCTCAGCCGTAAATTCATTGTGAACTAACATATCTAATCAATTGTTTTTTGCATATGTTTCATTTGCTTGTTCTGATCTTCAACTTCGCTCCTCCGCCCATTCTTTTTTTTTTTAACTTCAGCTTTGCTCTTCGACTTCGCTGCCACTGTCGCTTGGTTACTAGTGTTGCATCTCCTCTTCTCTAGCTGTTCTCCAGCTGTTTGTTACTATTCGACTTGCATGAGAGGTTGTTTTGAATGAGCCTCTAAATAACTTCTTCATCTTCTTCGACGACGTTCCTTCCTGTCGCATCTCATGAAGTTACACCTCCTCGCCATTCTTCTGTTAGATTAGAAGGACATTGATGACATGCACTTGGTCGTTGCGAAGGTATCAATCATTCGTCATTTTGCACGCTTCTTCATGCAAATCTTGTAAATTCATCAAACTCCCAGATTTGGTAAATGCGAGATTTACGATAAAAATAGAGAAACATAGGATTTAACATGTTGTGAGAAAAACTACTAACATACATGAATTGTATGATTCTTTAACATACATATATTGTGGACTTCTTTATTCCTTCCACCCTAATATGATACATAAACCAATCAACATGACTTTGTATTATAAAGAATTTAGGGCAATTTCATAGAATCAGAACATATAAGGCACAATTTGCTCAAAATGGATAATTAATACAATAGTTTTGAAATCAAACAAAACCTGGTTAGAAGATAATCTGATATTGCTCAAACCCTATTCGAACTTTTATTCAACTGTATTTAACATTTTGTTCGAACGTGATTTTAAACATGTACAAATTTTTGAACTAAGACTAAAAAACATACTAAGTTTGTTCATTGTAGACTTTAATAAATAGTTTGTGCGTACTAGAGAGGCATTGCTGCTTGAAATGAAGATTCAAACATATTTGTTTAAGAAAACTAATAATGGTGGCTATTTTACGACATATTAAGTCAAAATTTTCATATTTTTATCGAGAATTTTTAAATAAATAATATCTCATTTTTTCTTATTTATAAAACTAACACTGTAATTTTTTATAGTCAAATTTATATTGTGTGTTGTCATGAATGTGTTGTTGAGATTTTTATAACAATTTGTCTTAATTGGCCAAAATAGATGAGATTATAATGATGATAGAAAGTGGTGTAGCATCAGACAAAGTAATGTAGCATCACATATTCCTTTCTCATTCGCTAAGTCTATGACTAATTAGAGTATTAAATTTGCTTTGTGATTTAATTTGATGTGGTATATTTATTGTACATCTTGATTAAATAAGATGTCATGTAAATATTTTTTTTATGATGATCATTAAGAAATTCACCTATATAATATTGTTTGTGATCATAAGTTTCATATGCAGTTTTAGAATTTTATTCTGAGCATCCATCTAATGATGTGATCAATAAAATAATTATATATAAATAACATTA